AGTCGTTATCATGCCCATGCCGGGATTGCCGACTGTGCTGTGTAATGGCAGTGGATGCGGCGTTGGTGTCTCTGGCGGGGATATGTCCCCGCAAGAGCCATTCGAGCTACCCGATTCGCTGCCGGTTGTGGCAACACTCTTGGTCACGGAGCCACTCCCATCGTCGTTCATGCTCATGTTCTGCATCATGCTGTTCATGTAAGCGTTGTTCTGAAAGTGCTGCTGCTGCTGTTGCTGCTGATGCGGCGGTATGTAGGCGTTCGCCTTGACTCGATGATGATGTGTGGGCCGCTGGAAACCGTTGCGTATCAGGCTGGGCAGACTCGTCCCACTGGAACTGCTGCTGCCGCCTTCGTTAATGTTCTCGTGCTGCAGCTCCCCGCTAATGGAAGATGGCGGCGGCGTGGTCTCTGCTGAGGGACGCCGCGCCGCATGATGTTTGTGGCCCGTCAAACGTTGCGACAAGTTGCGCATTTGCTGCGACTGCTGTGGAACGTTGGAGCGCTGAGGACTCGTCGTGCGGCTGCTTGACGGCGAGGACTGCTGGCTCAGCATCGGTGAACTGGAGGCTGGAGGCACATGATGATCTATGTTCTGCTGCTGCTGAGGAGCAGCAGTCTGCGGGTGTGGTGGGGGTGCGTAGTGACGCATCGACCACGCGGCGGCCGTGTTCTGGTGGCCGAGTATGGCATTTGTGTCCGCTGGAATGGTGATATTCGATTGCATCATGTGTGGCACACCATCGACGCTGATCTGGTGTGTTCCATCAGTCCCAGGCACAAGCTAACAGAGTGAGGGATAGATGGAGAGAGAGAGAGAGAGAGCGGAAGAGGGGTGAGGGTGTCCGTGTTAGTCGTTTAATCGTTCAAGTGTATCGCTTCGCCTCACTTACCTTTTGAAAATGTTGGGGGAATATCATTGGTATGTTGCCCTGCGGCGTCTGCACTACCTGGACCATCGGCGGATGCTGTTGCTGCTGGTGCTGATGTGCCTGTTGTTGAGCCTGAATTTGATGCATCACATGTTGCTGCTGCTGCTGTTGTTGCTGTTGCATTATCAAATCATGCTGGGACGGCGCGTGGGGATGCGGTGGATGTGGATGGGACTGTGTCTGTTCCATTTGCGCTTGCACCGGAAAGTTATCCGCCACCAGTTTGTTCTCCTTGATCTTGCCCAGTATTCCAAAGATCTTCTTTTGCTCGTCCATGGAGAAGACTGGATGAATGGCGGCCATTGTGTAGACAAGCAGCAGTTCGAGAAGAGTATCCTGGTCATTGATGCAACCAAAATCACACTCTCCCCAGCACTCGAGCGTCCGATAGATCTCGCTCACACAGTTCCGGTTGCAGGCACGGATCAGGGCCAAGTAGAGAGCCATTTTGCGGCGTATCTTTCTGTCGGTAGGATCGCCCTTCTGGCAGGTGAACATGTCGGCGGCCAGCTCCTGGGGATTGTTGGCGCGCAGCTCCATTCCGCGCAGCGTCTCCGAGTCGCATCTTCCTTGCTCCTCGAGCAGTGTGCCCAGGAAGCGTAGCTCGAACGGCAGGCAGGCGGTGAGCAGCGCGTACATCGTTTCAATGCGATTGTAGCTCTCGAGTTTCTCAAACCACAGCAGGACGTCTTGTTTACAAATCATTTCCAATGTTTTTGCTGCTGCATCTACTGCCTGTGGACTATGGATGTATGTGTGTGTGTTGTATGTGGATGGACAGCGGTTTGGATGATACCCTGTAAACAGAGCTCTTCTGTCTGTGTGAGTGAGTGTATGTGTTTGCTGTGTATGGGTTTGCGTGTGTATGGCGTGTGTCTGTGTGCTCTAGTTACGTGTGGTGGGTGCAAAAACCACAACAACAATAACTAGAATCTCGATAGTTGGCGCAGCTGCTGCTGCATCACTGCCGCAAAGGCTGTGCTGTGGATCGGATGAGCGCCTGAACACACAACGCAGCTTCGCTTGCACTGCTAATTAACTTTTAAGCGCTTCCCTTGTTTGGCGTTTGCACAATTTTTCGCCTGCTGCTTCCACAAAGGCTGCCCACTACAACTAGTTGTCGTCGCATATATTTGCGCGTTAGCGGGTGGAGGACGGGTGCTCACGGGTAGCGGGGGGTTGCACCACATTGGCCAGAGACTCGTCGGCGTTGGCTAGTTTACTACTCGATGCTCCTGCTCGGGCCGCTGTTATTTGTGACTCGCCGATGCGAATTTCTGCACTTAGCTCCTTAACCATTCCACGCGCACTCTTCCGCGATGTTTAACACTTTACGGCTCACGGGCACTAAATACTCTACATTTATGGTTTAAACACGTTATTTACTTTGCATTGTGTGTGTTTTTTCATAAAATTTTCTGTAGACTCGCTGGCGTTGGTTTACTACTCGCCAGTGTGACCGCGGACTTATGGCTAAAATATACGGTCTGACCCTCAGAAATATACTGAAATATACCGTCTTCTCTTTAAAATATACCACAAAAAAATTCGCTTAACCCACTTAAGCCCCCTCTATTTAACAAGTGAACAGATTGATTTAAGCCGCGGAAAATTATGCTTCCTGCTAATTCTTTTTATAGATCCATCCTATCCCTCCTCTTTACTAACAGAAAACCACGATGACTTTCTAGCTGGAGTCCAACTCAGGACTGAACACATATTTTTATCCGATAAATGAGACTATCGAAGCTGACAGGGATGTTCTATATTTCGATTACCGTGACTACTACTCTTATACGATTCAGTGAAAGGGAACCGTGACTTTTAAATAACCGAAAATTTATTCAATAAAACCTGATCAACCTTCCTATCGGTGTTTGATCAATTTTGTAACTTATTTGTTGGTTATATTTCTATGAAAAATGAATACAAGTACAAAGAAACTGCAAAAGCTTAGAAACCATCCTCATCATCTTCAGCCATCTCTTTGGCCAACTCCAAGTCCTGCTGCTCTCGCTCGCGTCTCTCCTCAGCACTCTCCAGATCCTTGCCGTACGACTTGGGCGGATATCGCATAGCTTTGACGCTCTGATTGTGTAGATTCAGGCAGAACGAAATGCGCTCGTGGAAGGCCAATTGGGGCTCGCGTGTGCTGTAAATGTCGGTGCTCTCCTTGCTGCGCATGTAGTTCTGAGCCGGATCCAGGGTGGCCTCAATTACACCGTCACGTATGGCCTTCGACACAATAAACTCGGCATCCTCGGACGAATCCAGCATCAAGCGCCTGGCGATATCCTGTGGCGAGATTCGCGAGTAGGAGAGACCAATCGAACGGATGGCAGTCTTGATCACATTGTGACGCAAGCGGATGATCAGTGTGAAGGTGTGATCCAGCTGGAACTTGGGTCCGTACTGCGACACCACGTCCCCGAAGCGTTTCAGGTTGCCCAAACGCACAGCCTGTGTCAGCTGGAAGTATGCGCCAAGGGACTGTCGGAGTCCCGCCTGACGGAACACAACGCGCTCGGGAATATTTCCAAGCAACAGTTCCACCACAATGATCAGCTTTTGCACGGTCTGGCGAAAGCCGATAGCCGCATGCTGAGGCGATTTCCGGAGGGCCTGGACCAGATGTTTGTGCGCATCACTGTACTCCAGCTTGGCCGCCTTGATGCGACCCAGATAGTAGAGGAAACGGGCCCATTCATTGTTGCTGGCCGACTCGGGGTAGACGGACTTCTTCACCAACTTGTCAGCCTGATCGTACAGGGCATAGTGTAGATAGTTTCTGAGCAGGCAATTTATGAGCACAGCCTGACCCTCGAAGTCGTTGCGTAGTGTGGCGGTCCGCAGACGGGCGTGCAGGAAGGCGCGAATGCCCTCCAAGGCGTTGTTCAGCTCAGCCACTCGCGAAAAGTAGAAATAGGACTTGGCTCCGATAAGATCGAGGGTGCGCCGGTTTTGGATAGAGATTTTGGCCATCAAGGCATCGGCACACGTACCGGCGCGTTTTAGATCGTTGGCGTCAATCAGTTTGACCAGCAGAAGCAGATAGAAGTAGGCATCCACCTCGGCTATCGGTGCCTTGGTAGCCAACAGTTTTTTACTCACATCAGGCAACTCGGTGGCATCCTTCTCCACAGCGGGCATAAGAGCCAGTGCGGCCTCCCGATCGGCGCCAGCTGGGTAGATGGTCTGCGACAGATTGCGGAAAACAACGCCGTTCAGCTTGCGTCGGGTGTTGGGCAAATTTCTCAGCACACGCAAGATGAATCTGTGACAAGAGTCCATAAATATTATTGAATCAATGATTTGATGGGGAGGAAAGCTTACCGCGACTCTTTCGAAGCGACACTCTTTTCGATTTGGCGTATCTGCTCGCGAATCTCTTGCACAGCGGCCACATCTTGATTTTTCTTTTCGTCTGCCAGTGATATCTCGGTCGTTGGAGGATCAACCTCCATCTCAACATCCTGAGTGCCAATATCTGCAGCGTTGGTCATATTGTAGAACGTTTAATTTGCAATTTATATATCAAATTGCTGACTTTTCTTGGTTTTTCCAAACGAAATCTAAAATGCCTAGTAATGCAGTGTTATCGGATTTATCGATAAAGTATAAATATAACCCACTCAACCCCCCTCTAGTTAAGCAAGTGAACAACTTTAGATAAATTCTTCTTAAATCCTACCCTATTTTTAAATTCAGAATAACCACGATATTTTTTAACCTGAACTGAGCTAAAATTCTTCAAGTTTAATCAAATTTTTAGAGTGTATTTCAGTACCCACTGATCAACAATGGATTAATCGTGCCCTGTCCATGATTAAATTCTATAACTAGAATTCTCAGCACTGAGCAAATAATTAATTAATCAATTTTCTACAAAATTGGTTAATTTGTAGGAATCTCGTTTATTGGAATTTGAGTGAGTGGAAAAACAAGGATTTTTGCGATGTAAGTGTCGATTTTGATAAATACACACAAGGTGCTGTTGGGGGCACAGCATTAACAGAGCTGTTAAGTGGCCATCTGGATTCTGTGGACGTTATCACTATTACCAAATAATTCTCTCAGGACGGAATGTGAATGAAAATATAAATAAATTGTAAAGTTTAAAAATGTTACGATACAGACACGCTGTGCGCATTCTTCAGAACCGGGCCTACTCAGCTGGTGCGACTGGCAATGGCGCGAATTCCGGTGGCAATACTCCCGACGACGACAAGCATCCCATTAGGCGGACGCTTCGGTTACTCGGAAATGATATGCGCAAAGTCAAAGAATTCTTTGTGCCCAAGGACCCCAATCCAGAAGAGTCCAGAGAACGAGCTTTGACTCAAACTAAATTCAAGTTTGAAGGCGAAACAGGAGGGAATTCCAGTCGGCCAGATGAATTCCAGACGCACTGCGATGTGCTGATCATTGGCGGTGGCGGTATAGGCAGTTCCATTGCATATTTTCTAAAGGAGAAGGCGCGTGATGGACTGAACGTTGTGGTTGTCGAGAAGGATGATACGGTATGTGTGACTGACATGGATCAGTGGTCACACAGTAATTATCTCTTGTTTTTTTATAGTATGCACAGTCTGCAACCCGCGTCTCTGTTGGAGGCCTGTGTCAGCAATTCTCTCTGCCCGAGAACATACAAATGTCGCTCTTCGCCGCTGACTTTTTACGCAACGCCAGGGAACACTTTGGCACGGAGGTACCGCTCAACTTTACGCCACAGGGCCATCTGATGCTCGCTGGCGAGAAAGACGCCGAGGGCATGAAGTATGCTTCGCAGCTGCAAAACGAGCTAGGTGCCCGGAACGAGCTCCTTACGCCCGATCGACTGGCGGCGCGTTTCCCCTGGCTGAATACCAAGGGCATTGCTCTGGGCTGCCATGGCCTCGAAAAGGAGGGCTGGTTCAACTCATGGTCCCTGCTCGCAAACTTTAGACGTTCTGCTGGCGGACACGGTGCGCATTTCGTCGATGGAGAAGTGGTGGACTTTGCTTTCCATGAACAGCCGGATATATCCGTCTCGGGGGACAATAGCTCCAACGAAGGCGGCTATGATGGTCTGGATAAGGCTGTTATTCAACTGCCAGACGGTACACGACGCACGTGCAAGTTTGCTCTCTGCGTAATAGCAGCCGGAGCTAGTTCCGGGAAAGTAGGACGAATGGCACGCATTGGCACTGGCCCGGGAATGCTTCGGGTCCCCTTGCCCATAGATGCACGCAAGCGGTACATGTATGCCATCAGTACGCAGGCACAGAATGCACCCGGCATGGCCATGCCCATAACCATCGATTCGAACGCGACATTCATTCGGAGAGACGGCTTGGGCGGCAGCTACATCTGCGGGCGTAATTCCGACCCGCAAGTCGATCCAAACAGTGATAATTTAGTCGTTGATCCGCAGTATTTTGACCAGCAGATTAGGCCCGCGCTCGTGGAACGGGTTCCCGCCTTCGAGGCGGCCACAGTTTTAGACAGCTGGGCGGGCCTGTACGAGCACAATATTTACGATGACAACGGCATTGTGGGACCACATCCGTACTACCACAATGTGTACATTGCGACTGGGTTCAGTGGACACGGCATCCAGCAGTCGGTGGCTGTGGGTCGAGCCGTATCCGAGCTGATTATGGATGGACAGTTCCGCACGATCGATCTGTCGCGACTGAGCTTCGATAGATTAATTGTGGACAGGCCCATGTACGAGTTGAACAATGTTCTAAGTTAGTGTCTGTTGAAAGTACAATGTATTTATTGTACATGATTAAAGTTTCATTTTACTATTTGAACTGTCCTGGTGGCGCACCAAAGAGACCACCGCCCTGTTTGCTGGCGGCACGCGAGGGGGCAAAGCCCAACATTTTCTGTATGTTCTGGCGAATGGACATGGTGCACAAAATGTAGAGGAAGATGAACGAGCAGTCGGTGTAGTCTTCGCCGGACAGATTGCGATGGCTCAAGCCCTGGATCCAGGAGATCGGGGTAAAGGGCAGTTGGGCAACAACACGTCCATCGAATATGCTATTGAACATGCTCAGCAGAGCGGTGAAAGCAAAGCCAGTAGCAAACATCGACTTCATCTTCACCAGCGACAAGTCCCTGTTATTGTTCTTGAGTTTCTCCTCGTCGCGCTCGATTTTCTTTTTCACCGCCTTGTCCAGTGAGTCGCCATGGATTTCCTTACGGCGCTCCACTTAAAGTAATCACACGTTAATTTATGATAATGAAAACCCATTTTCCAGTACTTACATTTCTTGCTCTGCTTTTCCACTTCGGTCTTCAGCTTTTGATATTTTTCGGTGCGGTACACCAAGACCCAGGTGAGCCCTTTTAAGGTAAAAATTCATGAATATGTTGGAAATAAAACTGCTTTGTGATGTTTCACTCACCTTCGCCCAAAAAGGCTGTGCAGACGGATATGAAAACTATCAATATTGTGTCAGACCACATTTTTCCACTTATTTTATGTTAATTGAATGCAATGCAGTGTGACCGTGGATTTATCGTTAAATATACCGTCCGACCCTCAAAAATATACCAAAATATACTGTTTCATGTTAAAAATATACCGTAAATATATATATTCTAGATCCATCATATTCCTCGTTTTTCATATTCGGTTTAATATTACTAGCTATTTAAGATCCTCAGCACTGAACACATAATTTTATCAGATACATTAATCAATTTTCTACAATATTGGCTTGTTTTAAATAATCAGTTTTTATTTTATTGTGTCTAAAATAAGGTTAAGCCAATAAAGTCAAGTCAAGAAACTTAGGTATAATACGTATGTAAGTGTGTACGGAGTAAAGTGACACAACACCCATAGTATGTCAACAGGTAACCGTTATGACTATAGACTTTATACTTGTTTCTTTTAATTACTATTAATATTGTGAGTTTCCAAGTTGCTTTATGCTTTAATTAGTTCCCTGTACATATATCCTGCTATTCCTCAGTGTCCTCATCTCTCTCTTTCTCCAGCTTGGTCCGGACATTTAGCTGGCTGACCGTTCCATAGCTCGACCTCATTCCGCTCGTTTTGTGCCGACAGCCAGCATTCGCTATTCTGTGCCCCGGTGATCCAAGGCGGGCTTCATCAACCTGGAGACTGAATGTTCTCGAACCACTTTCGAGCTTTGTTTATGTGATGTTGCTGCGTCGTCGTCCTGATGGAAGACATAAGACAACGGCATTTCGTATTTCGCATACCAACATAAACATGTTGATCCTTTCAGCGGTCTAGAAGACACGGCTGTCCTTCCGCGCGGAATAATACTGGAATAAGATTGACCTGAAGAATGACACCGCCACCGCCCGCGTTCATCTAGTTCCATTTGTCTAGTACAATATATTATTTATTTTTATGTTTTCGTGTTCAGGAGTCTCATTGTTTTCATTTCATACATTTTCTTTTTTAGTTTAGATTACTTTCAAGATTTTCTCTAAGTAAAAATATTTTCTTCTCCGCTCCGCATAGATACTACGATCGATGTAGTATGCAGATGCTGATGCAGATTAAAATCGCTTTTTCAATATTGTATAAGTAATGTTGTACAAACGCACACACACACACATATATCAACTCGAATTTTAGCTATTTTGTAGGTACTTATCCATGTATAATTGTATGTATATCTTCTGTATATATAGGGATATATCTATATAATGCTGCCCATGCGGATGGCAGGCTGGCTGGCTGGTGTATACATAGACTTAGTGGCTAGTACTAGCTAACCTATAGATTGCATCACTTAGGGACTATTTGGGGGAAGTGAACTCGATACTCCATTGCAGTTTTAGGATCTTCTCTTATTCTTATGGTGTGTTATTATCCATATGGATTTAATTGATATATTGTAAGGCATTATCGCATTTTTAAAGTACGTCATTCTGTTTAAAATCTAGGCTAACTTTGCTCTTCTCCTGCTCATCTCAGCGCAACGGTTAAAACAGGGAATTAAGGAATTTACACTCTCAGTTTTTACTTACACCTAATCTAATCTCTAGCTAATCGATCCAGCTCCTCGATTCTCAATCCTATCCTCCTCGTTCGAACCAACACTTCCATTGTCCGTCCACAAAGTTTCTCTAAATAAATGTGGTATTGCATAAGAATTACATTCAGCGTGTTTCCCCCGACCTCTTCTCTTTTTCTTCTCTTGTTTGTAGACACATTCGTTTCATTAATTGTTTTGTTTGTTGTTTCCTATACACGAGTACTCACACATTGTTTCACAGCACAATTTCCATTGACAATTGTTTACACGTTCGTAGATTATTAAAACATATTGAATTTTCTATTCATTTCCACCTTCCCTTCTATTCTTGCATTCTATGTATGTATTTATGTATGTATTTTGTCCTTCCACTTTTTTTTTCAGGGCCTCAGTCTCAGTCAAAGCGTCTGTCTCACTACGAAACCGAGATTGCACTACGATCGAGAGCAGTGAAAGGTTCGTCACACTCTTCTACACTCTTCCACTACAAAATACAATACAAAATATTCCTATCACAACGATCTACATCCTACAATATGCTGCTACTTTGCTTACTATATCTGTATTTTTATCTATATCGGTATATCGGTATACTATATATGACGCCTATTCTAGTGCCTAGATCCATAGATCCATAAATATTATCTGCAATTGTGTCGAGAATACCAACGTTCGTGAATCGAATGCGGATTGCACTTTAATTTGAACACTTTGCACATATCAAAAGACTTCTATTGTTTTGGTTGTCTACGAGGATAGTAGATTTGAACACTCTGTTGTAAGTACAATGAGCAGTTGCTGTTTGGGGGAGGGGCCTTTCATTGCATGGGATTGCGATTGGGATTCACTCAGACGCGCACGCACAAAGAGGCGAAGGATGTGCCTGGAATGGTGCCACAAAAGGGTGCCGATATCCTAGCTTATAGCTAACTGACAGGGACATACACTATTTTACTAAGCACAGGAACTACAGGCGCAGAGATGATGAGCGGTCCTCCTCCTCATCGTTGTCGTTGATGAGCTCGTTTCGATCGTCGTCGATCTGGATCTTGTGGTGCGACGTATTCCGCGAGTGGTGCTGCTGTTGCTGATGGCTTGCTGCTCCTCCTCCTCCTCCTCGATTAACATTCGCAGCGGGTGCAGCAGCCGAAGGCGGTGTCACCTCTGCCAGCATTGTGTAGTTCAGATCCTTGGAGTTGGTGCGACGATGTCGCAGGACACTCAGTCCCGTCGAGGCTGGTGGCTGCTCAGCTGCTGGCTGTCCGCTGCTCGATGGAGCTGCTCCACTGGCACTTTTGGTATTCAAATCCTTGGAGTTGTTGCGCGAATGGCCACGCGAGCCAGAGCCTCCTCCTCCGGCCTCCATCTCGTTGGAGTTCTTTAGCTTGCCACACGTCTCCGCCACCACATTCTTGAGCACATTCACGTTCTTCTTGGGATTGTGGTGCGGATGGGAATGCCGCAGGAAGTCCGCATCAAAGCGTATGTTGTTGGGCATGTAGATCTGATCGTAGCTGTGGTTGCGCGAATGCTTCTTCACGAAGTGGCCACAGCCGGTGGTCAGCTCATCGTCGTCCTCCTCCTCGGCGCAGTCCTGGGGCCGCAGCTGGTTCTGGATGTAGCGTATGGGCTGACTATTGTCGTGCAGATCCGTGGAGTGGTTCCGGGTGTGCGCCTGGAACTTCTTGAGATTCTTGTACTTGCTGCTGCTGCCAGCGCCGGCCTCCTGTCCCGCGGCATCGGCCGGCCCGCTCGAGGAGTTGTGATCCCTGGCAAAGCTCTTGATCATCTTCACGTCGCACGAGGCGCTGCGGAAATGCTTCTTTGACTTGGTCTGCGGCTGGTTGCACGTGTTCGTGGGCGGCACCACATGCCCGCACTTGTCGTAGCTGCCAGAGAGAGATGTCATTCTCAGCTAGATTCTCAGAGGATTCTCTACCGAATTGTATCTCAATTACTCACCAGTAATCCATCTGCATAGTGCGCGAGTCATTGCGCGAATGCCGCAATATATCTGTGGGTATGATCAGCTCTCCTGCGCCGCCAACGAAGCCGGCGGCAGGCTCTGCTCCCGACAGCTTCTCCTCGAACACTGCAAGCAAACATCAATGGAAAACAAGTTGAGAATTCACTCCAAACACAAAGGATAATGGGGCTTATGCACTATTATTCGTATTCTAGGTTAACATTTATAATTTATATTCCGCATTCTCCCATTGACATCTTCTGCTTCTCTTATTGCTAGCTCTTCACTCACATTTGTCCAGGCTGATGATGGAGCCGATGATCGGATCGCTGGCATTCAGCGGCTTGGTCTTCTCCAGCTGCCGGCGTCGTCGCACCAGCCACCAGTCCACGATGAAGATGAACAGAGCAACAAGCTTCACGGAGGCACAGAGACCCACATATCTAGATTAAAGAGATAGTTACTATCTATTCCTTAGAAGGGATGGATTAGAGATCATACTTGTAACGAAACTTCTCAATGTCGTAGATGAGACAGCGACCGCCCTTCTCGCCGCAGGAGGACTTCCAAAGCAGGCAGGTCGAGTCGATGAGGTTGCCAAAGAGGATGGGGGCGGGGATGTAGCCAAAGAGTCGAAAGATCACAAACTGCATGCCCAGGGCAAAGGAGCGCTCTTCCTCGGACACCGATCGCAGGACGATCATGAGCAGCGGCATCTGCGTGGAGGCCACCAGGAAGGTCATGAAGAAGAGCAGGATGAGGAACGGGTAGATGGTGCGGCAGGGCGTGGCACAGGGTCCTGCCGTGGCCACCGGCACCACAGTGACCTCGGCAAAGTCCTCTCTGGCGCTGAGAGCCTGGGCCTGGCTACCGCCAGCCCCGCGATAAATGCTGCTCGAGATGTTGGCGTGAACACCTGCAAAGGAGCGGGGGAGCATCATCAGAGACCATTCGGGAGACCTTTTAGAGGACTACTCACATGCACAGTTGGTGTAGTTGGAGCTGGAGGAGAAGGCCGTGCAGCCGGCGTGGCAGGGACTGAAGTAGGTCAGTCCGTTGTTGCCGCAGACGGGCTCCACCTCGCTGGTGAGGCACTCGCAGCCGAAGTTGCAGGCGGCCGTGAGGTTCACCTGGAAGGGTTGCTCCAGCGTGGAGCCCCCCTTGTTGCTGGTGTAGTAGGGGATCGTGGTGCCGGCCATCTTGAGGTTGTCGCAGCCCAGGAAGAACAGCATCGCGTAGCAGGCGAGGCAGATCACGTTCGTGATCAACACGAACTGGACGGCGCCCTTGGGCTTCAGCTGGAAGCGCTTCAGGATGCAGCCGCCGAGGAAGATCCCAATGCAGGCCCCGGGCACCGCAATGGAACCCGTGAAGATGTTGGCCTGGCTCTTGCCGAGGCTGAACTGCGTCTCCAGGTACTTGGGCAGGAAGACCACGAAGCCCGAGACGATCATCAGCTCCATGCAGGCCCCCAGGCAGGTCACAATGTACACGGGGTTCTTCACCAGCCGCAGCATAGACTTGGGTATGTCCTTGATGTCCTTCCCGTAGCCAGTGTCCACCTTGGGAGGCAGCTGCTGCTGCTCCTCCTTGCTGGTCACCGCCACGATCTCCACCTTCTTCACCACCTTCCCGAGCTCGTCGGTGGCCACCACCGCACCGCCAACGCCACCGACACTCCCACCGCCACCGGCCACCACGGAGTTGTTGGGCAGCACGGGCTGGACGACGCTGCTCTTGCGGATCTTCTTCTTTTCGCGAGCGAGCACCTTCGGGAAGGAGAAGAACGGCACGGCCACCACCAGCAGGATGACGCCGCAAAGCAGAAAGCCACCCCACCAGAGACCCACCCATCGTCGGTCGCCAGGAGCTGCAAGGGAATGAGAAAGTTACAAAATCCGACCGTTTCTGGGGAGGACCGGGCACTCACTGATCGATATGGTGGCGGAGGAGAGCGAGTCCATGTGGAAGGAGAGCAGATAGGCGCCCAGGAGGAAGCCCACCACGGGCCCAAAGGCGCCCATGCTGTACATGCAACCGATGTACATCGAGGAGCTCTCGGTGCGCACGTGGTCGTCCACGTAGGTGGTGCCCAGGGTGAAGAGCGGACTGCCGCCGCAGCCGAGCAGCAGTTGGGCCAGGACGAAGAGCAGCACGGGGCCGGTGGTGGAGGCCTTGCCCTCCAGGCAGTTGTCCTCGCGCAACGTGTGGGGGGCGAGCGGCTGGTTGGAGAGGCCGCTGGAGAGGCGCCCCAGATCCATGTCCTGGTCCCGCACCAAGGCACTGCGGCAGATGTTGTCGCTGGTCTTGTTCAGGATGGCAATGCCCGGATTGGGCTCTCCGGTGAAGTGCGGCACCATGAACACCAGCGAACCGATGCCCATGATGACGGCCCCGATGCCGATCCACACGGGGATGTGCCGCCTGCTGCCCAGGTAGCTGACGAAGATCACGGTTATCACGTTGCCGATCTCGTAGCTGGAGGCGATCAGGCCCGAGTAGCTGGAGGGGATCTCGAAGCGCTTCTCGATGGTCGTGATCACAGAGTTGATGTACCCGGAGCTCAGCGCCTGCTGCATCATCACCAGGAGCGAGAGCAGCAGCACGAAGATCTTGATGCGGGCGAACCTCTGGATGCCATTCGGCCGGCAGTTGAGGATCCCGCAGTCTCCCGACCGGAACTGCTCCTCGTCGTAGTCCTCCTCCTCATCGGGCGGACACTTGCCCGCCGACGCCTGCCGGCTGTGGCACTTGACCATCACGCTGTCCACCGATGCAGCAGCAGCAGCAGCCGGTGCACTTGTGGGGGGCCTCGGATCCCCGAGGGCGGCATCTATGCTGCTGTCGTCGCCGCTGTTCGTCTCGGAGTAGAGTCCAGTCATCTGGTACATCGATTCCTGCCGCCTGAAATGGCAAATTGTGTCTCTTGTCAGATCCTTAGACTTTGAATCTTCTTTGATTTTCTTGCATGTTTCTTTCACTGGGTTTTTGATGCTAAGCTTTTGGCCAAAACGAACGATATCTAAAACAGCTGTGTGTGTTTTTTAAACTGGAATCGCAAACTGGAAATTTGTATGCCCTGACAAAAGTGTAACTGATGTGATTACGATTCCCAAGAATACCAGATACCACATTGGCTATGCTGCCACAAGCAGTTCCCAAGTTCCCGCCCTCTCCCGCCCTTTCGCCCCTCCCGCAAGACTGCCTTGAGTACAGGGTAGAGTATACTGGCAAATCGATTGATTTCCAAACTCCAAGAGCCTATCCTTAGGGTATTGAAAGCCTCGACCTTCCTTTCTGCGTTCCCTCCATCCTTTCGCTGCTCTGTTTTTTGAGGCCTAAGGCCTACGGCATTCGGCATTCGGCTGTCTATAAGCCGGCCTAGAACTTGGCGACGGCCACGGACGCGAACGCGGACGGTCCAAGGCCGTCGGAGGGCGAGGACAACCCGGCTTGCCCCCCATTCAATGTCAAGCACTTTGGGCTTTTGGCCAAGACACACACCACACTCTCCACTGCCTCCTCTGCTGTTGGCTGTTTTCTGTTTGCTGTTTGGCTTGGCGGCAGCTGCTGTAACCACAAAAGGCCCTCTACCCTGCTCGTCTCTTACTCTGCCGCTCGTTGGCTGTGCCACTGAGTCTGGTCTGTGGGTCCCTGGGTCTCTGGGTCTCGCTCTATTCCCGTTCTCCTTCCGGTTATGTTCGGAGTTCCTTCGTCTGGCAGTGCACGCGGATGACTGCGGTGCCATCGAGTGAACCGAAGTCGAAGCTCACGTGCTGCTCTCACCCTGGACTTGTTTGTCACGCTTTCCCCGCTGGGCTGAGCGGGGGCTCTGACAGGGGGGCGTGCCGTGGAGTGGGTGGTGCCTTTGAATATTTCAAACTTGACCGACAACTACTCATCGCAATCGCCTCTTATCGATTGAATTTCGAAGCGGAAGGCGCTGCAGTCTTATGAATTATTAAGTCCTAAACCAGCGCCGGTCCCAGGCCCTCCTCCTGCCACGTGCCCCTTGCTACGTGCCGCCCCCAAGCTAATTATCGATATGGAGTATCGGCTATAATGCTTCGTTTCGTTCTTCGCTTTTGTTTGTTGTCTCAACCTCCCCCTCCGCAGGGAAAGTGTCAATTTATGTAAATTGTTTTCCCCCCCTTCCCCCGGTGGGAAGCGGGAGCAGGTGGGCTCCAAATTACGTGGCTAATGTCTTTGGCTCTGGCAATTGTAACTGTTTCGTTTTCTCACCTGTGACCTTTGCGATGTGTCGTGCTGGCATCGCTGGCATTGCTGTTGGAGCTCTGAATGTGGATGTGGCTGCCACCGGCAGTGGCAGTGGCTGTGGCAGTCGCGTTGCCGGTGCCGATGCCGGTGCCTGTTCCCGTGACAGTCGCGGCGGCGGCGACAACGGCTCCTGTGGCCTGTGGGGGGTCGGAGGACTCCTGCTCGAAGGAGGGATTCGTGTACTGTTCGATATGTTGGGCACCGGTTCCGGATGAGCGTTTCGCCGACATTCTGCTGTAGCATTTATCCAGCGCTCAGGTCGTCACAATCATTCATTCGTTCAATCAATCAAACAATCGCTCGACCCTGAGGCATAGCCTGCAAAAAAGAAGGAACAAGGAAACACAGCTTTTCTTTAGCAATAGGATCTCCAACTTTTGTCCCCTCCCTCCCCTCTTTGGGGTGGGGCACTTGTCATTAGGGACTTTCGACTCTCACACACACACACACACCCTTCCGAGTTGATGACGCCGCCGATTACTTCCTGAATGAAGCTCCATCGCCCACTAATTGCTCCCAAAGCCCCACACAAAGTCACTGGGACTGACTGAGGGAAAAAGAAAGATAATTACGGAATGCCCCTCGACATCTGCCCCCTTTTTGGTTGTGCAGACTTCCGCTGAAGGATAAGAAGGATGCTTGCCACCGCCACCGCCACCGCCGCCGTCTTCTATTAAAAAGCTTGCCACACACAAACAGACGCACCACAAGCACATGCCACAGACACCATGCAACCGATGGAAGACATGTGGGTAGGCCTTCGCAGAGAGATGCACCGGAGATGGTGGTGCCATCTTTCTGTTGGAAATAGAGATGCACGCGTGACACGACCACACGCCACACGCTCCCGAAGGGCCCTCTCTGTGTGCTCACTTAACCAGTCTTCCCTTTCTTTTCCCTTCATTAATGTATAGACGAGTACACATTATATGCAACAACAAAAGGAACTACAACAACACTTGAACACGCCCCTCCCCCCCCCCCCACACGCACTCATAAAGGAGGAAGGAGGGAGAGGAAGTGGAAAGGAGGCGGTAATATATCGATTGCCCCTGCGGCTCAATGGAAATTTATGAAAATCATCAGAAAGAAAAAGGCTAATGCTCGTGATTGTGCTTGTTTTCTGCTCCTCCTCGGGCTCCCGTCCTCCCCTGTTCCTCTGGGAGCCCCAGCAAGAGAATCCACTTGGTGGCTGACCGCTTAAGTGTGATTTAGGTGCTGCCATCGGGGCTCTACCCATTAGTCGCGGTTGCAATTCTGGCTCCGCTCCTGCCACCCACCGACTGACCCCACAGTTAATCAATTACTGCTTCAGCCACGCTCCCCCCCCTCCAGCTCCTATTTCTGTTAGCCATTGAATGGATGACCCACAAATGTTGCAGCTTATTGCTTTCATGTTCCACATTTTGAACATTTTGAACATTTTGTGTGCCTTTTATTCAGCTTTTGGTGTCACACAGATGCTGCCACTGCGCCTGTTCTGTTCTGTTCCATGGATGAAAGAGGCTGGATAGATGGATGATGAAATAGCCAACTTTTGTGGCCTTATTTTATGGCCATTTCTTTGGCCAATTGCCAAAAACACAATGTTGCCCCTGTGTTCCAGTGTTCCAGTTGCGGCAGTCGCCAGATAGATGATGCAGGAAATGGATCTGCTCCGATCCGATCCGATCCGATCGGGGCGCCGTGATTCGTAATTAGAGAACTTTCAAAACAAAAACACAGCCAGGAAATGTTCGCTGATTATCCGATCCATCAGATATATATATATTTCATCGAGTGTTTCGTAATTTATCATAAATAAAAACACAAATCGAATCCATTTCTCGACTCTCGAGTGACTCTCTCGCATGAATTGCGCGAATGAGAGTTAATTAAAAGGCGACATCCACGCCATCCACGACATGGAAGCGGCACAACATTTTTTACCGTACCCTTGGGTACCCATCCCCTTCGGAGGGGGGGCCAGAAAACAACAACACAGAAATATTACATAATTGGACATCATTTATGAAATGTCTTTCCATCTGTGGCAACAGGATACGAAACGATGGGATGGTGCTGGATGGGGCATTGTGAAAGCAGACGCAGACACGAGGAATGCCACACGGCAGCAATTTTTTAAAATTAATATTGTTTTTTGCATATGGATTGAATGGATTCCAGTGGCAGGTGGCAGGTGGCAGGTGGCAGGCGACACTTGACAGGTGCATCTTGTATAAGCTTGCAGATGTGGCAAGGGATTGCAGGATATTTTGGCCAACTCTCTCTATAGTCCCCTATATATTTCCATTCTCACACTTCCAAATAAGTGAATTAGAATTCCGACTGCGTGGCTGGTTTAATAGTGCACCTGTTTTGATCTTGATCGTTTCGTTTCGTTTCGATTCGTTTGAAGTTAGTTCCTGGCTCACGCCCTTTGGTGGGTTATTCCACTCGTCCACGTATGACGATCACGTCTCTCGGTCTCCGTCGTCTTTTGTCTCTATCTCTTCGCGGGGTGGAGAGAACATTGAACCCCCGAGAAGTGCGAGAGGGGGAGGGACGCCACTGTGAGCAATGGCTGATGTAATTAAACGAGACAATGAGACGAAAGTCAACAAGTGCCGGAGCGAAGTAGCCTGGAGCCAGGCCAATGACAGAATCACAAGTGCAAAGCCACAAACAAGATTTATTTCTGGCTGATTCTTGGCCAAAACAGCAACAACAAAAAATGGTAAAGGTCAGTCCAGTCGCCAACTGACGAGCAGCAGCAGCCTGTTGTCTAAGCCAAATAAAGAAACTCGTTTCGAGTCAAGAGTCGAGGAGATATTTTGGCTTTTCGCATGTGTCACCGTCACCCCGCCTGTCGCTGTCGCTGTCTCTGTCTCACAGAGTGTTTCCTTCTCGTTCCTTCTTGGGTTTTTATTGTTCATTCGTTCATTTTTAGAATCTTAATGGATCTTGGGCGAGGAAAACAATCAAAAGTACGAGTAAATGGAAAGTGAATAAAATTGCACTGCCATTTACGAATCTCTACAGACACACAGATACACAGATACAGATACATATATATATCGATACAGATATACGTATGAAATGCCGCATACAGGAAGTTAAGTTTTCGAAACGAGTTTCTTTCGCCTGCCTGCTGTTTGTTTTGTTTTTCTCCGCCTTTTTCTGGGCCTTTTTCTGTGTGTTAGTAGTAGATAAAAGGCACAGATACACAGATACGCAGATACTTTCCAAGCCATGGCGAAAACTAGAATCAATAATAATTAATTTACGCCGAAACATTACTTTCCGAGAATGTTCCTTCTTCTTCTTCTTTCTTCCTCTTCTTCTGCTGATAAGAATGAGATGTTTTTGAAATTTCCCACTGATACTGATAAGAGAGCGGGCATCGCGACTGAAAGATAGTCAAGCATAGAGATACATTCTGTCTGTCTACTTTGAAGTCTTTCCTCGAGGTTTTCCCCGTGCCACGGATGGGTGGCAACACCCACAAGGGCCATGGCAACAGGCTGATAGCACTGCGGACATCCACGGGTATCTCTCCCGTGAACAAACAACTTGATTTCCCATGCCCTCCAAAGGGGGCGCTCCATGTTGTGTGCCCAGCTGTTTAATGTTTGCTTTTGCTGTGGCATTGGATTCTGATAATCTCCCAAGGACAGCCACAGCCGTCGTCAAGTTGAGACCGCAACCGGAAAGCCCATAAACTTTAATAGGGGACATTCAGAATAAAGAAATATTCCGATTAATTACTCCAGAATTCTCATCTGGTTGCCATTTGTCGAACGTTTTCAGGTTTCAAAACTAAGTATTAAATCTCAAAATGCATGGGTAAGACAGATAGCAACAAAATTCTGAATAGACAGACAACTGAGGTCTGATCGTAGGTCCGATCTGAGCTGTGATCTGTACTCGGGACGGGACAGAGCGAGTGACATGGAGTGACGGCGAGAGATAAGGCATTCAGTGCCTCCCTTCTTCTTCCATTTACATTAAATAATTCAGAAATTGTAGAAACGAGATTATTCGGATGCTGCCTGCCGCTTGACCCTCTGACCCACATTCATACGAATGTACACTTTACGTAATATATTATTGTTTACTACGGAGTACTCTCCCGTCCCGTTCCGTTCCCCTGCGAGTAAATAGATAAACAGCCCCCTGTTTGACGTCTTTTGTGGCTTTTGGGGATCGCAGGCGAAATAATTCCATGCGGCGGGAGAGGGAAACGTAATGCCTAACATGATCCAAAACAATCCATCCTTTTGTCTCGCTATTTGCTTACTCGTTGGTTGGCATTCGTTGTCTTGTATGTATCTCGTTATTGCTAGTACCCTCTCGCTTGTCTTCTACTTTCGTCTATTCTTTGAAATAAAACCACTGCTGCTTTTCCCCTTTCCCTCGAGTACAATGGGGTTCGGTTCTCTTCGTTGGGGGTTCTTTGGGGCCACTCAACTGAAACTCTCAAGTTGCCTAAGCCCCCAGCGGCTTACCCCTCATGACACTCGTTGCTGCAACTCGAATGCGTTTCGTGTAATTATTTGGCTTTTGGAATTCGACAAACTCGTTTTAAGCTTTTTGTTTTAAATTACTTTGCACTGGAGCTGGCGCTGGGGCTGGAGCTGGCGCTGGGGCTGGGGCTGGGTTTTTGGCCTGAATGAAAGGGGCTTCCGTGACGGGCTAGCCATCTACTCCACCCACCCAGATGCCTCCCCAAGCACAACAAAACACCGAAAAGTGGCGCGAGTGTGAGTTAGATGGAGTGGATCGGATTACTACTCGCAGAGTGCTACTCCCTAGAGTCGTTTCAGAGATTCAGCAACGGTGCAACGGAGTGGCAAATAATCCTCTTAGTAGTCACTGCAGCTGGGGCCAGAGCAGAGCGGGTTTTGAATGGAACCTGGGACTGAAACTGAAACTGGAACTGAAACTACGACTGCGAAAGCGACACATTTGCCATTGTTGGCTGGTGCTTTTAATTGCAACACGAAAGTCCACAAAAGTCACATGTCACCGAACGAGAGAGACCCCGAGAATTGCTCAAGATCTCATCAGCCCCTGGGCCTGAATCATCTGCATCGTTCGCAGATGAAGAGTTCGCTGATCTTCCCGCTTTGTGTTTGCTCCTCCTCCAAGAATGATGACCTCGATTATTAGTACAGAGTACAGTTTAACCTCTCTCACAGTCATGCAACTGCAGCAGATAGCAGGGGCAGCAATTGATCGATTCATGATCACGAGTCAAGAGCCCCCCCGGTCCCAGCGAGGGACAGAGTCAGAGTCAGAGACAAAGACAAAGACCGATTCTTGATAATTACAGTTCCGCTGCTTGCTCGCTGGTCAGTGCACGACTCCGATGGATGGAATGGACGGTATGGATGACAGCATTTCAAGTGGGTGTGTTTCTGGCTCACTCTGCAAACCGGTATCTCAACATAGACCTCCTGCAAATACATATCTCCATCTATTCACTCATTCGTTGGTACTCGTTGGACCGGCTGGTGAAGGCCAGGCCGCAGCTCCACAGCTCCACAGCAAATTGACACAATTAAGTCCCGTCGAAGGCATAAACATGATTAAACAAATCAGAATCAGAATCGGAATGCTATTCAAGCAATGATTCGGATTACAGCACTCCAGTCAAGTCTTAGCCTTGCACTGGTTATAGATTCAGATCTTTGGGGGTACTTCATGGCTGGGACTGGTCTGGCAGCAGGGTTTCTTTCTAGCTGTGAATGAATGATGAGACTAGATGGAAAATACAGACTCTTTTCCCCTTGGACTGCACTTTGACGTCACTGCTGGCTCTTGGATAATAATTCAAAGACGCATTCGCCGTATGCACAACGAAAACAAAATTCGAGACAAGAAAAACCTTCTTCTCGACTTGTGTTTGCACGACTAAAACTTTCAGCAGCTGATAAAACAAGAGACACACTTGCCACTGCCACAGAGGGTGAGAGGGGGAGAGGGAGGGAGGGAGGGAGAAATGAATATATGGCCAGCAGAAGGGGGAAGCCAGAAGCAAACAATAACAGATATTATTACGGCAGCACTTGGCTGAAATGATTTTACGTAGCAGTCGGAAATAATCTAAAGCTTGGCCATATTCCTCCCCCCCATATTCCTCTATTGCCCCCTCAAGAGTATCTTTGCGTCCAGAGAGGCCTGCATTTGACGCACGTTTGGTAATTGTACAATAAAGACTCGGCCTGGGGCATAGCTTACAAAGAAAACAAAAACAGAAGCAGAAGCCAAACGTCAATAAATGTATCTCAGATAAAGATAAAGCTAAAGATAAACAAGAGATGCTTTGGCATGAATAAAACATATGATTCGATTTAGTTGGCAGGAAAATTACGATAAAAGAGGAGCAGCAAAGCTCAAAGCTACTGTCAAAATATGATATATAGGAGGGGTATTCATCTCTGGGGGAATGACAGAAATCGTTCGATCGGACGAAAATAGCTCATGCCGAGAGGAGGAGGAGGCGGAGGAGGAGGAGGAGGCAGTGGGCGGCTGACTATGTCGTGGGTGGAGCGACTTGGCAACGCGCTTCTGCTCGGCGATTAAAAATAGTGTTTTACCAACAAACAATCATGGCCACATCTATTAGATGCTGTGCTGCTCCCCCAAAACGAAATGAATGTTTATTCAAGAAACGAGTCAACGAGCTGATAATGAAGACAAATCAACACAGCACACACCACAGAGATCCACAGAGATCCACAGACTCCCGCCACAGGGCCACAGATCCCCAAACCAGTAGTTGGATAGATCGGAGCTGGATTTGGTTTGTTTGTTTGCCTCTTTGTTTGTTTAGGGAGGGACTTAATATAGGAAGAGACTTTGGTTTGGGATTAACCAGAACAGAGGCCAACATCCCACAGAGAGCCACAGGGAAAGGGGGGGAACGGAGAGCCAGACAGAACTCCAAAAGAACACAAAGAAATGGTAATCTTTTAATATGTAAAATCTGTATAAATTATTCAGGCGAAACGAATCAAGTTCCCTCCCGATAAGAAGTTAATTTTCGACTCTAGTCCGTTTTCTCTCTATATATTTTCTGTTTTTGGTGAAAAAGAAAGTAAATTAAGTGTGGCCCAAAATTAACACATAAATTATTTAATATTCCACTCGCAGAAGGGAGAGAGGTATCCCCAAATTGCATTTAGAGAGAGGTGGAGAGTGGGAGGGGGGGCTAAAGTTTAATTTGCGTGTGCATTCGGGGCACAAACACAAAAAGCACCCATTAATGTGACCCAAAAACGCCGACATGCGACAAAAATCGGGGAAAAGGCAAAGGCAACGGCAAACCCATACCAAATCCAAAATATTCATACAACAGGAAAAGATGAAAAAGCACACAGAAAAAAATTAAATAAATAGGTAAATGAGTGAATGAATGAATGAATGAATGAATGAATCAGAGTGCATCAATGTACGAGTGTATGAATGGTTGGCCCTAAAAAGCTCTGTGTTCATCGCAATTTGAAAATGTCAACATTTGTCGTGCTTTGTTGTTGGTTTTTATTTCTTTTTCTAAATTCACGAAAAGGTCTATCATTGTTGTTGTGGTTAAAATTTGTATAATTTCTCATTGTTGCTGGTGAGAGACTTGTGTCGCGCTTTCTCCCGCCTGAGAATGAGAAACGAAAACAAAAGTCGCCGAATGACGAATATGAGAAATTTCGGGTGTGTTTTTGTCTATCCAACAAGTCAAAAACCCCCCCAACCCCCCGACCACCCAATCTGGAATCAGTTGGCGTGACTCCTCCTCTCCCTGTCTGGCCCTGCCTCCCCCCAATCCCCCCAATCACCGATTTCTAGCGATTCCTAGCACATAGCACATCGGAACGCATTTGCTCCAGACCCAAGTGTAAACATTTTGCCAACTTATTTGTTGTTTAGAGTTCTTCTTTGTGCTCGTTTTTCTTCACATTTTTTATGTGTTTTTAATTGCAAGTTTTCGAGGATGGGGGGGGGCTGATTTTTAAGTGCTTCCACAGTAAGTGGGGTTGTACTTTGAGGGGTACGGCGGGCACTACTCTCCTCTACAGCCTAAGCAAACATTTAGTTCTGGGAAAACTTGGAAAACCATAAGTTCCGCACGTTTTCTGCTGACTGGCGGGGAAAACTTAATTGAAATTTTAATGTTCCGATTAATATGGAGACGTGAAAAGGTTGGGGAATGTGTGCTTTAACCGATTTGCAAGTGGCATAATTATGTAACTTATGTAACTGCTGGTGCTCCGTTTATGGAAACATTTCCGCCTATGGGCTTTTAATGAATTAACGAAACTCAAAGCAAAGCTCGCTCAAAGGCCGTAATTGGACAATAGATGAAAACTCATTCGATGATTACACACAAAAGCAGAAAAACCGAAAAACACTCCACTTCGGCGACCAACGAATCGAACAACGAACAAAGGTTATAAATGAAGGCAGCGCCGCGTTAGATGGAGAGATTGGGAAACAAACTGAAAAGTTTTAATGACTCTGACTACCGCTGCCACACTGTGCCATCGGGAAAACAATTGACGGGCAAAAGACAGCAGCAAAAAGCGAGAACTTTGGATGGAAGTTGATTGCAACGAAAAAAAAAAAACAGAAGAGGGTTCCACAAAGCCGAAGCTAGGAATGCCCTTTGTTGAATCGTTTCTAGGACAGAGCCTTGAATTTCCCCGCTTACTCTTCAAGCCAGGAAACCCATTTAGATCCCATCCCCCCTTGGCCATGCTAATGCACTTCCTTCCTCTCTCTACCACCAACATCCCAGTATACCCGCTTTGGCAAGGGCATCTCCAGGCACAGGGCATCTAACACACAAATCAAATCAAATCGAATCGAACTTTTTGCCTCTGGCTGAAGTCTGAGAGGTTGAACGCCCTCGACACGGGAAACTTTTGGCCAGGAAGTCCTTAAATCGTTCCAATTGCTATCGTTTTAATCGATTTTCCACACCTTTTTCGCCCCTCCATCTCCTCCCGGCGGCCACCTTCCTGACCAATCTTTGCTAGGTTCGAAATTGGGTTGCAGTTTCAGGTTTGTGGGTTTTTCTCTGTTATTTGTTTCTGCTGCGACTGTGATTGATATTGTGTGACACACTCTCGGATTCAATTTTAATTTTCGTCATAGTTACAACTACATATGTTTTTCGAGGAGAGCAGAGCTGTCACGTAATATTCAATCTGTGGGCCATTGAAATGCTCGCGACATGGTTTCTGGGGGCATGTGTGTGGGAAGTTTTCAGTTAAAGATCTGTTGACAGAGCTCCACTGCCCAATGAATGAAGCAACACACACAATTTGAGTACTCACCTTCAACTTGCCTTCCGTCCTTCCTTCCTTCCTTCCTTCCGTCCGTCCTTTCTGCTCTGCTCTTTCGTTGAGGCAGCTGCTGCACACTTTTCAAATTTTGTTCTCAAGTTTTCATTCGATCGGATTGTTCATTGAGATTCTTTCGCAAAATGTAGATATTTGTAAACACAAAATTTCGTCGAGATTCCGCTATTTCATTATTTTGGCATTAAGCTGAAACATTTTTTGATGCGATTTTCTTTTGCTGCTGCAAAGAAATGAACGATTTAATTTATTTATTGCATTTTCTTTCTTTCGTCCAAACACCTTGCGAGTAATTCCACCAGATCACAGGCTCTCTTTCTCAGAGTATGTTCAAGAGAAGGTAAGGCATACCCATATGCGGTTACCTTGAGAGCGGGACTGCCTTACCTCTCATTCACCTTTTTCTCTCTCTCTCTCTACCTGCGAGAGCTTTGCTTTGCGCGAAAGACTTGCTTGAATGAGTAAGTCGAGCAGGAGAGAGAGAGGCAGAGAGAGAGAGAGAGAGAACAGGTTTACGTTTTCTTAATGCTGGCAGACACCGTTAGGAAGAGCGAGACGCGGCTGCTTGATTATGTTGATGCTTTGTTATAGTTATTGCTGTCTTTTTCCTTTGCATTGGGTTACGTGCGAAGATTTGGCAAGCAGTGGCCCCCCAGCAGCTAATTGGGGCTGCACACACAGACACAAAGGTAAAGGTACCGGAGAGAGAGGCGGGGGAGAGCGCCAGCCAAGCGCAAGAAATGGAACAAGCAATACGAACACTCGTATGGGAATTACACATCGAGGTGTAATCAAATCAAAAGCTACACATATTCCCTGATCAGCAATGCTTTTAAATTTATAATACTAGAAAGTTCACTTTATCGTAGACTATCCAGAAAAGATGAGGTGGAGAAACCAGTTTAGAGCTGGCTAATCTGGAATGGTTTGCCTTTGCAGTTTATCAAAAAGCACGACTGGAAAACAGTTAGTTTGACAGTTTTTGTGAGTCATTGGAGGCAGCGGATATGTAGAAGTCCAGAAGAATTATGGCTTGAGATTGGAATCATTGGAAATATGCATTTGCCATTAGCACTTCTTTGGATATTCTCCCCTCGCTGTCAGAAATCGCACATGGAATACAGATATACAAGAATATGAATGTATTGTAGGTACTATATGTACTTATGTCAATTGTAGTACTTGGCGTGTGTTTTGCTTATGAATTTGGTCTCTCGGTCGATTCGATGGGTCTGGCACTGAACGATTATGCAAAAATAAATCAATTGAAAAACAACAAGAACGCCTCGGGAAAACGCCACAAAGAAAACCCCTGTTGGGGGGACAAAGAGAGAGAGAAAGAGAGACATAGAGCGACAGGGAAAGAGGAATAGCGAGAGGGGAAGGAATCTGTAACAAGTGCCTTCCTTTACCTCCAAGCACCCACCTCAGGCCTGGAAATACAGGGGGCTCTTCAGCTCTAGGCTGGTGTAACTGTTGCTTGAGATTTTTTCGAGCAACCAAACAGGAACCCTGTAAGCACACTCACACGCACACACCTAGCCCACCTACAAAAGTAGATGTGTAGAGCAAAACGAGTCTGCCGCTGCGGCTACGGCAGGGGGGCAAAAAAGGACAGACAAACAAGACACCACGAGACAGGCACGGCACAGATGTCCCAAAGAGTGTGGGGGGGTGGGGGACGAGAGACAGAGCGAAAGAGAAAATAAGACACACTTAAACACTCTCTTTTCTAAGCAGATTAAACGTGCAAAATCACCTTGCTCGATATTCGCTCATATTTGTCTTGTTTTTCACCTGTCTTTCTGCTGATTTGTGCAGCATTTATTTTGTTGTTTCTCTTTGATTTCAATGTTGTTTTGGTGCACGTATATGTGTGTATTGGTGGCAATTGCATCACTTCCCCTGTCTCTTTCTGCACTTTTCCAGGGCTTTTGTTCACTTTTCGAGCAATAAACTATAATTTAATTTTCATTTGTAACTTTGATAACACATTGCGATTTTTGTTGTTGTTTCTCGGCGTGGGTGAGTGACCCCGTTAATTGCACACGATTTTCCCCGTTATTCTACTCGCCTCGCGCGACTTACGAATTTTTCTTTCATCTCCCTTAGTTTAAACCGTTTTAATTAGTGTAAAATGTAAAATCAATTCTTAGAGTCGCCGCAAAACACAAACATCGCGGGGGCGTGAAAATTTATTTTTGTGGATATCACGGACAAAAATATGCGCCACTATTTTTCTGTTGTGTCTGTTCCGTTTTATTCATGTTTTGTGCATGTCCGAACATGTTCGCGAGAGAAACGGAGTTTTAGTGTTGAACAAGTCCGAACATATTCGCGAGAGCGAACAGCTGTGCAACAGCTGTAGCTGAATTTTACAAAATGTACGGAAAACGATACTGGATTAGTACCAAATTATTGAAAAAGGTACTGGATTATTCTCAATTTATTTCAAACGGTAATTGATTTCATAAAATCCAACTGGATCTCATTTTTGCGTTCCCAACACAGTTTCGCGCCTTTTGGCACTTCTTGTGCTGTTAATGCTATGTTAATGTTCCTTGAACATCGATAACAGCCATATCTATCGCACAAGAGAACCGACTAAATTTTTCGTTTCAAATATAACTTTGATTTTGGCGCCAGATTCGAATATGTAGATATTCTCTGAAATTTCGCTATTATTTTTTTTTTCAAATTGCCTTAAATAATTGCAATACATTTTAGGTAAATATACATTTATTTCATTTAATGATTTCTTGCTTTTCCAACAATGTATGTAAATATTCAGCTAACGTTTTCAAATCTGGTTTAATTTGTTTGCATTAATAGTACAACTAATGGATTACAACAATTGATTATTACCGTCGTACGTTCAATAATAATAGTGGGGCCTATTAGGATAGTAGGTAGGGAGGGGCTTCGATAAAAAAGTAAAAAATCGACTGTTTCCCACAAGAAACTAGGAGAGAACAGAAGGTGAGAAATAATTCTGTCAAATACTTGAATCCAATATGCACAATCTGCACATCGATCGATATATATATATATAGTAGGTATAGGTTTAAGGTATGTATTGTATATATATACTGTATCTTATGCTTAGGTATATCCTTCATGAGTGTAGAATCACAGCCTTTTCATCGAACTAACATTGCAGTTCTGTTGTGTTTTTGAATTGTCAAGTATTTCCGTTGTGGGTGATATATAAATCTATTATAATTAGTCGCTAGGGGGGGTTAAGTAATCATAATAATTGTACCACATACATTTAGCAGTGTATTTTTCGGTTTTGTTTAACAATAAGTAGTTTTAGGTTGGTTATAGATCGGGCATGGGCTTAGATAATCTTTTCTTATATACAAATAAATATATAAATTACGACATAGGGGGTGCAATTGTGTGCCATTGCAATTGCTTTCCATTTAACGTTAAGGCAAACATTCTAACTAAGACTCTTCTCTTCTGATAGTTGGAGCTTCGGCGAATCTATTGTATTGTGTGTTCCACGTGTTTCTTCTATCTTCAACAGAACATTAGCTAAACAATCTAATTCAATTTGTTACTAAGTACTCGTACATTTTAGACTAATTGCTTTTAGGGGGGGAACTACGGGTCACTAAGCGTGTCAACTAAGGGCGTAATTAACTAACATAACATTGTATTATTAATCGGTGTCGAAAGGCCACATATTTAGACTGAAAGCACATGTGTTTTTGTAAGGTTTCTAGTTTTAGTGTTTCGTAGAGAGGTGCATTTTGCAATTTGGCGCTCGATCAGGTAATCGTTGTTATAATCTGATTCTTAGACCCATAATCGGTGATTCTGCAAGAATAATACATTGATTAGATTCAAATAAGAGCTAAATAAAGGGGGAAATCCAAGCAATGTACAAATAAAAAGACACAAAATCATAAAGGAACTCAGAAACGAAGTTGAACTCAAGAGACGTGCAAGAGAAGCTATCAAGTATTTTGTGCCTTTTTACCTATATATTGATGAGGCTGAGGTGGAGCGCGACCAAGTAACTAACAAACCCTCACCTCTGCTGCGCTCCCGCTGGCTGTGCAGTAAAACCTTGGTGCTGTCGTCGGGGCACAGGGAAATGCGCACCGTTGTCAATATTAGGCTGCAGAGTAAACAGATATTAATTAGTGATTAGTCCTTCTGCGGGAGGACACTCTCGGGGCTCTTGGGCTTACCGGGGCAGCACAGCCACCACTGTCGATAGGAGGATCACCAGCCAGTGGACGGCAGAGGAGAAGCACACAAAGATCACCCAGTAGGTGGAGGGCAGGCCGAAGCAATTGACGCACCAATAGTTGTACACAATCGAGAAGAGGTAGAAGGAGGCCAGGCTAACCACGATTGATATGACATGCAGCACAGTCTATAAAGAACCAAAGAGTTAGCGACACACGAATCATTTATTTGGGGGTTCCTCCATTTACCCAGGAACGTATTTCAATGCAACAGTGCACCAGATTGGCAAACAGACAGGAGGCCGTGATCGTTGTACCAAACTCCCAGATGCCCACATCGCTCTCCCCGTAGGCGCACAGCGCCACAAAGAATATGACCAGACTCTGATAGAGGGCATCCAGTAATATCAACCAGAAGTCGTGCGGCCTGTAAGCGACGCCCAAGCGACCCTGAAAATACAACAAATGTGAATGGTTATATCTAGCTTAAAGACTGGGGATCCAGCCCGTTCTGCAACTCACATTCTTATAGAGGTACGGATTCTTGAGTAGCAGATCCTCCGGCACTCGCTTGTCGTATACACCGATGGCCAAGGGCGGCAGTGAAGTGAATATCAGGTTGTAGAGCATCAGATACATTTGATCCATCATCACAGAGCCAGAGAAGCCGCAATACAACTGATACCAGAATATCAGAAATACAAAGGCCTGCAAAACATAAAATTCCATATGAAAAGGCAGTTCAGAGTGGAATATATCTGAGATTTCTTACCGCATTCTTGTAGAAGAAATAGAGGATCATGCGCGACAATCGATCGTAGCACCAATAGCCATGAGAGAGCAACAGCCGCTCCAGGTAGCGAAAGCGGGATAGCGTGAAATCGGCAGCCATCACGGCCTGCATACCCTCCTGGCCAGAGATGCCCACACCCACATCGGCCATCTGTATCATGGACACATCATTGGCGCCATCTCCAATGGCCAAAGTTCGCAGATTGAGCTCCTCCTTCACGACTTTAACCAGGTAGGCCTTCTGCAGAGGTGTGGATCGGCAGCAGAGCACAGAAGCGCATCGCTTGGCCAATCGCAGAAATGGCAGAATCAATTTGGATCTAAAATGTATCATTTAAGTCATTAGATGCTGATCCGATCCGCCCGAAATATGGCTTACTTTGGATCTAAAATGAAAGTCAGTGTCTTGCCATCCACCACCAAGGCGCGTGGCTTCCGTCGCAGCGTCTGGCTGTAGCCAATCGAGGATGTGGGCTTTGCATTCTCCATGTCCGTCAGATAGAAATTGATGGCTGTCTCAGCTGCATCGCGGGAACGTGCTGTCAATCTGCATAAACAGCATTCCGATTAGTCATCATGTTTAGGGATTAAATCCCCGACTAATTACTCACTTGATCAACTCCATTTGCTGGGTGAAAAGCTTGGCAGAATACGCTATATTTATGGCCGTCTCGGGCTTGTCTCCCGTCAGCACCCACACGGAGATGCCTGCCGCCAGGAGGGATGCTATCGTCTCGGGCACACCGTCCTGCAGGCGATCTTCGATGCCTGTGGCTCCCAGCAGCGTTAGATTGCTCTCCAGCTTTGCGAAAGAGTCGCGCAATCTTCGCTCGCGGTTCTCCAGCGACATCTCAATCTCCTGATGGCGCGCCCACCAGTCCGTGTAGTCGGCGGAGTTCAGGGTGCGCTTGGCCATCACCAGAATGCGCAGACCCTCGCGCGCATAGCGATCCAGCTGCTGTTGGGTCTGCTCGCGCAGAATGCCCTCGGGGCTGTTGTGCGGACAGGGCGACAGGACGGGCATGATGGTGCTGTCCGCTCCCTTGCAGTAGAGGACAATCTCCTGGGTGCCCGTGCGACGGACCACAATCGACATGCACTTGCGACTCGAGTCGAACGGCAGGATCTTGAGTATCTCATACTCGACAGTGGCCCTTGCCGTGGGCATGCTGACCAGGATGTGGTTGGGGCTGCGGTTCAGCAGGCAGCAGTCGTAGCTGTAGGCGGCATTCACCAGGGCCAGCTCATCCGGGCTTTCGGCCTCGTACAGCGGACGACCATCGGCGGTTCTATAAATGGTCTCCGATTTGGTTGAACTGAAACGGGGGACGGCAGATTGTTAGAAAATCCATTGACAAAATCCTCTCTTCGATTTACTTACGTCATTTTCAGACGCTTTCCTTGGGTCTTGGCATTCAGGAAGGTTGCTATGCTGGTGATCTTCGAGTTGATGGCCGCCTTGGCCCTGCCCGTGGGCGAGATGCTGTTGGACAGCGCCTTGCTCTTCATGGGTGGCGATGGCGACTCCGACTCCGAGTTCGGCGAGGACTCCGCCGAACTGCTGATGGGCGACAGCGTGGGCTGGTGGCTCTGGGCGGGCATCGCAAAGATTAGATTGGGCGGCGGCGAAGGGGTCACGGATCGCGACTCTGCCAGCCGCATGTATCGATCCACTGGGATGGATGCCGGCTGCTGCTGCTGCTGTCCATTCACAATGGTAGTCGTGGTCGTCGTGGTGGTCGTCGTAGCCAGCAGCTTCTGTCGCTGTTTGTTGTGCTTCAGGTTCGCCGGACTGCAGCCCGTCTGCTGCTGCTGCACTTCAATGATGCCGCTGGCATTCATCAGGTCCCGATGCGGCGCCGCACTCACGATCACCGTGTTGCATATCGCCAGCACCACGAGGAACTCCTGTATCCGCTGGGCGTGTGGCGTGAGATACGATCCCTGCGTCAGCAGTGCCATGTCGCTCATCAGCGTATCATTCGGCACCAGCGGGGGGGCCGGGGCCCCCGGCTTCGAGTACATCTTCTCCAGCTCCGAGGGCGGGTGATTGTAGTCCGCTCCGTTGACGACGCAGCGGCGAAAGATCATCTTGTTCTCGGTGAGAGTGCCGGTCTTGTCGGAGAATATGTGCTGAATCTGGCCGAGCTCCTCGGTGATGTTCATGGCACGGCATTCGGTCTGCTTGTTGGTGTCCGCGTCGTACAGATCGATGTTGTTGTGGATGTGAAAGACCTGCAG